AATGAAGCGAGGACGAAGGAGGTGAAAGAGGAACAGAATCGCCTACCGATCTAATGAGATAAAGGAGAGTAAGGTCCCATTGAATTCTTAAGAATACTTACTCTCCTTTGTCTCATTAGATCGGTAGGCGATTATGTTCCTCTTTCACCTCCTTCGTCCTCTCTTCATTTCTCTTCCTCTTTCTTAAGAAGACTTAATATATTCAGTAGCATACAAATCAATAAACACATATTTACAGCAGCCGTAGGGTTCTGTGGATCCTTTTTTTTTCTGAGTGTGAAGCCATTTTGACTTTTATATTATGATTAGGCCAATCAACTTTTGTCATGTTTCATCTAAAATAGGGAGAGTGCCAACAGTATTCTGCCATCTCATACTGTGTCAGCAACATGTAGAAACCCCGTCTTGTGAATATTTAAATCCTTGGGTTGGTTCTGTCAGTATTGTGGCTAATTTGATTCCAAGATATGAAGTAGACTTCACCTTTATAATTTAGCTTCCGATGCAACTTTTGGAACTCATTAGATGAAAACTTGAGGTAAAGGCATCTGAGAAATCAAGTTGAGAATTGGTACTGTTTTAGTCAACACTACAATCCTTCTTTGCTTGCAACTAATTATTAGAAAACAATGTACCGGCTGATTGGCTACCTTAGAAAAAGATGAATTAAGAGACTCATTCTAAAAGTAACAATAACTTTCTAAAATTTAATCGCTGATCAATTCTTCAACATAGGAAAGTACAATGACTTATATGATAACTACCAAGGAGAAAGCAAAAGACATTGTTTAAGAAATGCTACTGGCCTGTCCTTTATTTAGCTATGAACAAAAGAAGTTCAAATAGTAAAAAGGAAAAGAGCTATTAAATTGATCTAATACTTGGTCATGTTAGCAATGCATAATCCAAGAATTAGCTACCTAAGCATGCCATCGTTTTATTGAAGTGAACAGATTCTAGTTTGATCTTGTGTGACACACCAACCCTTTCATGTATAACATTAAACATCATGTGAAAATTGACAAACAGAATATTGCAAGAGGTAATGAACAATTACCTGAAATGTATGGAAAAACCTGCAAGGAGGTCTTCTGGCCTGAGGTGAATGAGAAAAGCAACATTGTGTCCCCTTGTTACATGTCCCAATAATGAAGAATTTACATAGAGCAGATTCAGTGACTTGAGAAACTACATTATATACATTGTTATGCTGATTATATGAGTTGTCTTCCGTGTACTTCATACGTATCTGTTCAACATAATGAGGTTCAAAATTATATTGGAATTCATGAATTACATGTAGGTAATAAAAGTAAAGAAATGCAAGGGAACAGAAAGAGAAGGATATTGAATTATACTTCTTTAATGAGATTCATCAGTTTCTCAGACACTGAAGTAGCTCGGAAATCATCTCGAGAAACATATGGTACAGCAATGCAGGTTGTCCCAGTTGTAGCATCAGGGATCTCATATCCTAGTTCTAGGGCATCTGTATCTCTTGCTGATTCTGATTGCAAAATGCATTTGTGCTTAAATGCATAAGGCTCAAAGCAACCATGAACCCCACTTTTTGCCAAAAACTTGGGCCTAAAACGATGCATTATGTTGATAATATCTTCATCTGCAGGACATTTGTTAAAGCTAAAAAGCAGAGAAACATGTTGCATTAAGAATTAACTACATATCAATGGTTGCTTACAGATTTCGGAGACATTGTGCAGAGAGGTCCGCACAAGATTGTGAAATGAGCACCATTCCTCTTCAAGATCAGAGATCAGGACTTCTGATGTCCTTGGCTCATCAATGTTGATTTCTTGCTTTAGTCGTTCAAGACGGTGTTTATCCTTCAAGCATGGTGATATTAGTTAGAAATTAAAAAATATATATAGAACTCAGTGATGTTATCTCATAAGAATAGTCAAAAGAAAGAATTATAAGTTCACATTCACTCTACACAGGAATCTATACATCCACAATAAAAGATCTATTTTTAATGTACCAAATAGATAAAATGCAAAATTAGTCAGATAGATCATTAGTCCTTTAGTTTCTTCACTAAGATTATCTTTATCAATGAGATGAGCTAGGGCAAGCATATTTGTTTAGTTAGGTCAGTTATTTCAGGTGATATGGCGTACAAAGTAATATGCATTGCTTTTTTGACAAAGCTACTGCAACGCACTAATTTGGGTGCAACCGACTAAAAAAAATTTGATACTCTACCAGAAGTAAATTAATGTCATAGCTGGAAACCCAATGAACCTCTTAATCCAAGATAAACAACAAAGTTAATTATTCAGTTGGAATTAAGTGTATGAGCTTGAGTACAGAAATTTATGTTTCCAATTCTAAGAAAATGTCAGATTCTGAACCCTGCCATAATTACTAGTCTGTTTATCACGTATAACATGAAATGATAAAAGAAAAAGTCCATTTAAAAAGCAATCCTGTGAAACAATTTCATATCTTGGCACTTTCATCCATGATAAAGCTCTTGCTCTTGTCTCTAATTGTTGTTCTCAATCTGATTACCCTTGCATAACGGCCCTAATCTTTTTCTTATATTGCTCAGCAGAGCTTGAGCAACTTAGGTCCGATTCCCTACTAACAAAATGACAAATTCCTTTAGGGTAGTGAATGGGCCCATAATATATCAATATTCAAAAGCTGAGACTAAATGAATTACCTTAAAAACATGTTCCCAAAACTGAAAGGCACACAAGTTTGCCATAAATATTGTTTCTTTCTTGCCCATCGGCAATTCGTTGCTTGTGTCATCCTCAAAATAATTGTCTACATACTTCAGATCAATAACACAGTAAAAATAATCAGATATAAAAAATTACGAACCAAAAGTTAAGTCAATGCAACTGTTAGTACCAAATTTTGACTGCCAAAAGGTTGAAAAATTGGTGATGGTTGAACATCCATTAGTATACCAATGAGTATTCCTTCTTGAAGCATACCAATCTCACCAAACTTTAAAGCTAGAACTGAAGCATCAAATGAGAGAGGCAGACTATCGAGCAAGCAACCATAGAATGTTGGCTCATGGCGGCCTCTGCTAGAAAGAGGCTTGTCCAATGCATTAATTTTGACTAGCAGATTCAACGCATCTTCAATGATATCCACATCTGGAGGATCCAGAACCTTCTGCAACAAGGCTGGTGAATATCAAAGAGTACACATCAGGCTCTTATGGCGTATGTAAAGCATCTAAGAAAGCTTTTAACTAAAGGATGTGCTACATAGAGGTATAGTAGCATACACGATTTTTCAGCCTGAAAAACAGAGCTGCAAGCTTAAGTCTAGAATATGAGCTATCAGATAATAGTTCTAGAATATGAGATAGAAACTCAAATTTCTAGCATCGAGTATCTAAACCAATTCCAGTATTACTGATTTTGCACCAATCTTGATTGTGTTATCCATAGCAAATCCTCACCCAAATCTTGTAAAATATGCTTTACATTAATTGACTGAAAATGCACTCAATCGAATAAGTAATAACCAGTAGTATTGCATTGGTGGGAGCCTTGTGTACTGGGAATGCCATTTTTAACTAGTACTATTCCTTTTAATATGTTAATAAATAGAAAATCAATGATTTTATGAGTGCCTCAAAGGCAATGGGGCATATGAATCCCTTGTCATCTTTTATTGCATTAATAAAGTTTAATATATTATCTTCATTTTTAGTTCACATCTTGAAGACACTTCAATCCTTTTGAGGTAAAGATGGAACTGTTAGGAAGGGTGCATTCCTAATGGAAGCATGGGAAGTGATGCAAAAAAATGAGCTAGCATTTCAAAGACCAAAATGTGAAGGCCACTGACCAACCATCATAGTGAGGTTGGCAATCCGAAGAGCTGGTGATGATGGTTTACTAGAACACTCAACAGTAACTCTTGCTACTACTCCAATGGGATTTGAGGATTGTTCTACCGGGGAACACTTTGGGAAAATTAAGTGGTCAGGCTAGGACAAGAGGTACTGAATTTGGCACATCTAGGAAACCTAAGTGTCATTGACCATCTAAGCACTAGATGAACATCTATGCAACTGCATAAAAGGGCATGTAATCACTGCATAAAATTCCCACAACAACAGTACCAATAAAAACAGCAATAGATGCCTTTGCAACTTGAAAAAAAAATGAGTGGGGCACCATAGAAGCATTCCTGCCTTTGCAATCATGATAGAAACAATAAAAAGAAAATAATCTTGAGGAATAAAACTCAAGAAAATAAATGGGGTAAAAAGCATTAAACTCACTAATATGACTTGGACAAAAAGAAACGAAGTGACTTAGACAAATCCTGTTTGTTGATAGCCTCGGACCAATCAATTGAATATTGATTAATACATAACCAATTGAACACTACTTGAAAATGGTTCTTTTGTTCGAAAACAAAATGTTCCAGATGTTCTGAAATTCTTACTCTCATTGGACCATTTGCATATACATCAAGATCCCAATTCATGGATCTCTCGATTCAAGAAATAAGAGGATCAAACCATTTCTTCTTACTCTTTTTCAAATTCGATAAATGTTGGTTGATCGTATATTTCATTATAGTTATATGATTCAGAGTATCATTTCCTATTTGATCCCTTTGAATAGCATATTTGAAGCTGCAATCAGATCTATTCATTAAAAATAATCGATTAGATAATCCATTTGCAATATTAAATTGCCCATTTAAACGGACTGACCAGTTACTGTTAGCCTTGTCAACACCGGTCAGGACTCCAACTAAGCACTGGTAATGCTACCATACCAGTTCGACCAGATGCTGAAGCTGGTATCTGGCTAGATTTAATCAGTGCTCTAGTGTCCATCCATCTATGCCACACCTCAATTTGAACTAAGGTAATTCTAGGACAAGTTGAAAATAATTTTAATTTCACATTCTCAGGTAACTGATTGAGCAATGACAGATTTGCATGAAGTGTATGTATCACATGATAATTTGTCAGATTAATCAAAATTTTCTCACCAGTGTCATGTACACCTTAATATAGCAGTGATGTATCATCAGATTTGTGTCACATGTATGATCACCAATTTCATAAAGGACTACACAAGAAAAGTGTCCAACAAAATGGATAAAAATTGAAACTTTATTAACCCCTTGATAATTTCTGCAAAACACTAAGATATTTAATAATTTAGAGTGGCAGTTACGATCAATAGTTAACTTTTCACCTGCTATGAACAGTATTTATTCACCTTACAACTTCAAGAAGCAAACTCTGGAAATATCATAACTAGGTATTGCCTCAATTAAGTTTTAAGTTACAAGAAATATAGATTATAGACATTACCTTTGGGATCATTAATTCCTTTAGTATCTGAGCAGCAAATCATGAGCACCTGCTGCCTTAATGATAATCTCAATATTGCTGGATATTCATGGTCTTTAAGACTACTGTAGAATGATTGTGTGACTAATCGGTAAATTTTACCGTCACAGGTTCGACCAGTCCGACCTTTACGTTGATCAGCCTAAACAAAGTCCTTTGAACAGATTAACACCGAGTCCTAGTAAGTGAAACCCAATAAGAAAAGTAAACTCAATGTACCTGTGATTTGGAAACCCAAACAAGCTCACAAGAGTCTACTTTTCTGATAGGATCCCAAAACACTTGCAAAGATCGACATGAATCAATTATGTAGGCTACTCCAGGAATTGTGACCGATGATTCTGCAATATTTGTTGCAAGTATCACCTGTAGATGTATCCATATGTCCATGTGAAAAATTACATTTCTTTGGAAACAGAATCTAACAAAAGTTCTACAGCATTTTATATAAGCATATAATGTTATCATGAACAGTCTGCTTCCTACTCAAGATATAAAATGAATCAGAAGTTTCAGATAATTTCCAGAATATATAAATATCTAAAATGTGAACTACAGGACATGATTAAATAAATGAAAAGTATAATCACAATTTCATCGGTAAAACAAAAAAAAACCTACTGATTCCAAAGCACTAAAAGAAAAGAGTATTATTAACTATGGCCAGTGATTGGAACTTAGTCAATTCACTTCTTGCATTTCAATAGTAAGAAAAATTAAGGATGTGTAACACAATAATGATTGGTACAAATAATATCAAACAAATTTTCCAAAAATAGTATTAGAAATATACCAACAGGTCAAGGTCAAAGAACAAAGCAGGCATAAAAGCAAAGCAGAAAGCCAACTAAAACAAGATTCAATCAAGTAATGTTTTTCCATGCAATATCTGATCCTCCATCCAATATAAAAATTTCCAAGAAACCATCACTCTTCCCCTAACTCAGTTTATTCCTTATTTTTCGAATTTATCCCATCAAAATTGTCATTTTTCACCCACCATTGACACATGTCAATAGCTTGTTTCATATACCAGGAATCCGGCTTCAATGTATGCACATCTAGATTCTCTTTATAATAAAATTTTACATTATTACCATAAATCTTCATCAAATATGCAACAAATCCATGTGATAACAGTTATATAGTTTGAAAATATACACCATCTGTAACAATGTGGAGGTACATCTCCACTTCAGCCACTCCATAGGAATTGCTTAATTGTGACCTCAAAAACCAAAATCTTCCAGCATTAGTTTATGGCTCAATGTAATCATATTGTAGTCATTTTCAACAAGAGCTTTGCCCTGAAAATGTATTCCACGATATGTTTTACTTTTGTTAATCTAGTTTAAGATTATCTTTTAAACTTGGATCAACAGCACTAATATAGAATTCACCCATATGACATCAATTATACAAGAAATTGCAAATATCAACAAGAAGAAAGCACCCTTGTGAAATTTCACTCCTGGAACTGGAAGGGCATTCTCAGTACTCTTAACTCCCTCAAACTCAGATTCAGAAAGCTTATTGGTCTTGGAACCAAACTGATCTTTGGCATGAGCTTCGGCAATTCCATCAACCGCTTAATAGAAGCCTTATTCTAATCAACAAGGATGAAATGATGAGATATAAGGTTGCTGATTTAATTGAAGGTAGTCAATGGAACAGACAAGTAATCTTTAATATTTTTCATCCTTCTTTGGCCAATTCTATCTCAAAACTCCACATTCCTCTGTCCCCCGAGAATCATAAATGGGTTTGAACCCCATCCTCTAGGAATCATGATGGCTCAGAGTGATAGGAAGCTTGGCCTAAATGACTCATGGGTTGGTTGGAAAGCAATCTGGCAATTGAAGGTGACTCCTAGAATCAAACTATTTCTGTGGAAAAGCTTATGGGGTAGGATTCCTACCTTGAATGGTTCTCTAAATTTACCAATTCTCCTGATCCTCCTGCCCTGTCTGTGACTCTAGTCTGGATAGCTCCCGTCACATGTTCTTTCTCAGTTAGTTTGTTCGCAACTTTTGGCCGCTTGCTCAATCCAAACTACACTTCCAATTGGAACCAGGATGGTTGGCTCTCTAAGGGAGAATTCCTTGACAAAGCTGCCAAGGATACCCTTAAAGCCCCTATTGCAAGCTCTCTGTGGGTCCTATGGAATCACCAAAACAGCTGCCATTTCACAACAAGTGTTTTATTGAGACACTTTGGTGCAAAGCACTGTCATTTACCTGTGATGAAGATCCAGATCCTCGTACTGCTAAGAGGGATGAGGGTAATGATATGCAGGAAAGATTAATGTGCATTCCTTCCTACTCCATCCTTGAATGTGATGCTTTTTTCATGAATTCTGCTGAGTGTGCAGGAATGGGATTTATCTTCAAGATCGACAGGGAAATATTCTTGAAGATGGCCACTCACACAGAACTATGCATTTAATAATTCAGGCGGAATGCGGTGCAATTTGGAAGGCTTGAAACATGCTCAAAGAAGAGGACTAAGAAATATTTGGGTCTGATCTGGCTGCTTGCCAGCCATTAGCTTTTTGGATATCCCAGTGATGCCTTCATGAAGCATCCAAAACATTTTCAGTAACTGTTTTTTGTTAGCCACAAATGTTAATGTCATTGAGGAATTTTGTACAGAGAAAACAATAGGGTCACTCATTCTCTTGCTCTATTTTCCCAACTTAAAATCCTCTCTTGTTGTTGGGATGGTATCCCATGCAGTTAACAGAACCTTTATGACATTTTTTATGCTGATTCTCTAGCTTAATTTTTTTAAAAAGCATAAAGCATGAGAATTTCTATGGCAATATCTATCTGAAAAATTATAATATAAACAAGTTTGTTTCAACCTGAATGATCTCTGTTCTCTACATAGCAAACAAATTTACATATAATATGAAATACCCATCGCATGCGTTCATAGCAAGATTTATCCAGAAATACCAATATATCTACATAACATGAAAGTTACCCAAAAATTAGATATAGGTTGATATGAATGTATGAAAAAAAAATATCAATAGACATGCAACACTATAACTGTTTGTCTATGTTATTACACTTTATATGAATGTATGAAAAAAATTAGATATAAGTTCAATTATATGTGATAGTAACAAGAATTTAAAGCAATTGCTTGCCCCTTGAGTATATGTTATATAACTGTTTACATAACATTTTTAATCCAGATAGGTACCCATTTCAGTGTTACATTTTCAAGATTTCATTTTTTTTCTAACAATAAAATATTTTCAAAGTAATTGTTCAGAGCAACATATATTTGAATATATCACAAATAAAGACAATATGACCAAATAAGCATATCTAAACAGAAATCATACGATTGATTGCTCATCAAAATTTTCACAAATAAACATAAGTTAGCTAAGATACAAGTTTAACATAAATCATAACAGTTCTCACAGCAATGACCCTGTTATTTCCATGTGACAAGACTAGAGTCATGTTTAACACAGATAACACATTTAATTCATATGCCAAGGTTAAGAAAGACTGGTTTTTGAACAGACAACTTTAATGTCACAAAATATAACATAGCAAACACCTCTAAGAAACTACAAACTTGAACAATTATTTATATGTCATTTCAAAATGTAAAATCATATAACATTTAAAACCAACAATAATAAAAAAAACATTTTAATATCTTACATAGATACTTTTGTCAATCAGATATTTCATTTTACAGATGTAAATCATATATTTTTACTAATTAGAAATATGTACATTATTACTTTTGAAAACAAGCTAGAGAAAGTAATCAAATGTTTACTATGGTGTACAATCTCAAAACCAACATAACAATCAAAATGCTTATTTTCCTAAATTATACAAGAAATATAAATTATTAACCATACATGAAACAAAAATAATAATAATATCATATATACGTTGCCTAAGTTTTATTAAATTATCCCTTCTTCCTTTTGTTTGTCTTTTCTTTTCATTACTTTTCTTCTCCCTTTTCATGTCTCTATCAGTTTCCCTTCTCTTTTAATTTCCATGCATGGGCTTGCCCACAAATTGATAAGACCCTAGGGTTTTATCATGGAAGGAATGAGAGAAAAAGGAATGATCACTTCGAGTGGATCGATCTCCTAGGGCTTGTCAAAAGACTTAATAATAATATTTCATTGTCTACGAAAAGAAACGGATACATCACTATTTATAGAGTTCCACCCAGAGTCCACCAGAACTTGGACTCTAATAATAAATATTAAACAAACCTCTGTCCGACTCAAACTAAACTAAACAAACTCAATAAACATTATTCAAAAGCTTAGAAAATATAGGGATCCTAACAATTCCTGCCCCTTCAAATCAGTCTTGTCCTCAAGGCTGAGCAGCATCAAACTTGAAGAGCTTCTCTTTCAATACTTCAATCATAGACTATCTGCAACACATCATAACCCATTGATCAAGTAAGTATGGTCTCCACTTTTTGATAGTGTAAACAATAGGTAGGCATTTTAGTGTAGTAATCATTGCAAGAAACTCCTGGCCCTGTATAATCAATTTTATCTTTGAACATTTGCTATCACAAGTGTAAAATCCATCCATCAACGATCTTTACTTCGAATCTGTCACAGCCTTCAATGTTGTGGGCCAATCGATCAATAGTCTCACTGTCCATAAAATTATTAGTGCTACCAGTATCAATCAAAAATATAACATGCTGATGTTCCAGAGTTCTGCCAACTTTCATAGTTTGCGGGTTAGAATAGCCAATTAATGCATGCATTATATGTATGGTAGGTCCAACATCTTCATTAGAATCTATACCTTCATGATCGGAGTCCACATTCTTAGCTTTCGGTTCCTCTTTAATTGGTTCAATTATCAGAAATTGCCCTTGTTTACATCGGTGCTCTATATTCCACTTTTCATCATAGTACAAACCCCTTGCCAATCTTTCCTTGAGTTCTTCTTGGGTTAGTCTTCGGGTGTCAAGGTTTCGGTTGGGAATAGATGGGGCGGGTGGCTTGCTGATCATTTGGTTGTTGTCACTTCTATTTCCATGATTTTCCCTGCTAATTTTTTTCTCATGTAGATATGCGAATAAGATCGCATCTATCATAATGTGGGGTTGACGACGCTTAACTTCATACCGAATATCTGGATTAAGTCCTTCGATAAATGTTCTCACTAGTTGTCATTCAGACCAATCTCTGACTTAATTTGACAATCGTTCAAATATGTTATGATATTCTAACACTGTAAAAGTCTAACAAATTTTAGCGAGCTGCCCATCAACATTCTCGTATTCAGATGATCCAAAGCGAATAAAAAGTCCTCTCTTAAATTGCTCCCACGAGGGGACTCCGTGGCAAG